AAATCTCTTATCAACCGGCCCGGCCCACAAAGGTGCCGGCTGAGGGTCGACCCGCCCATCGACCCGGCCGTTGGGCCGGGGTCGACCCGTATCACTACTCATTCTAAATTGATGTGCGCTTATCTGTATCGATGGTTGACTGTATAAAAAAACGAAAAAATGACCTAAAGAATATGATTTATAAAATCTTACTTTGAATTAAGTATTGCTATCATATAAACATCCACACTTGTCAGTACTTAGTATATTATTAAAGTTGTAATGAAAGATATTTGCTTTTTTATAATTTTTTTTATTATCATTACAAAGTTATTTGAGCAATGGTCAGGAACATCCTTTGGCGCAACTATGGAAAGTAAATGATGGTGATGTACCCAGATTATTGGAACTAGAGAGGAATTTGATCGCACTAGATAATGTTTTAAGACAAATATTAGAGCAGGATGACTATATTACAAACTTTGCGGGAACATATATAAATTTAATGAATGAATGTATAGTTGTAATGACAGTAAACTTTTCTAAGTTCAATGATCTACTATCTTTGCCTGAAATAAATCCTCATAGGAATTCTCTACGTCGTGAAAATGCAACCATTTCCATGTTTCATTTGAGAGACAATTTTAGACAAATAAATCAAGCTGCTTTAAAGATTCGCCCATGAGACATTTTTTTTTACATCAATATAGAAATTAATAATATCATTTTATTTTTTGAATATAAAACTAATTCCATTAATGAAAGGTTTATAAATGAAACAAATCAATTTCACCCGCACATAATTTATGCAGAAGAGACACTTGATCCACCTGCTCTACGAACTATGAGATCTCCGAATGAAGTTGAAAGAGGTCGAATAACGATTGAACTTTTTGGTGGAGAAGGGATGTATATTACTACATCAACAATTGAATATGGATCTTCAGTTGGTTTTTGGGCGATGGATGCAAGAAATGATTTATATATTATAACCACAGGACACGGTCTTGATAGTAGACTTGGTTTAAATGAATTATATTATTGGCCATGGGCGAATTCCACTGATCCACCACGAACATCTAGAACAAATCTAATTGGGACACCGAAAGCATTTAGTATAAATACATACAATTATTCCTTAATCCGGGTTAAAAAAAAGTTCAATCCAAACTTTCAAATAAAAAATGCTGATTATAAACAATATCCCCAATTAATTATAAATGATGGTCTACGTGAGTTCAGCCATGGAATTCATTTGTGTAAATCTGGTCGTACTACACATTTTATTTGTGGATATATAAAGGGGCTCAGTGGGATTTTTGGAGACGAGGATGGCTTTACGAGGGAATTAATTATTACAGACATGCTTGCAAAAGATGGTGATAGTGGTGGATCTTTAATTTCTTTTGATAGTCCACAAAATTTGCGTTCAGTGAGGTTATGTGGTATACATGTTGCACAAAGTGTTAATATTGCTGCCGGTCAGCAATTAGGAACAATCATCAATTCAGCTAAATCAGATTGGAATATTGTCACGGGCTAAAATGAAGGATCTACAAAATTAGGCACAGCAAACCCGTGATCGAAGTAAATTAATTTAAGAAATACTGGTTTATCATTTGAGGCTTCGAATAAAGACAAAACAATAACCAACGCGAAATCCGAAGAACAAGAAACGCGTAAGAAGAAATGAAAGAAGACCGATAATCAAGATTAGAATATAATTGAAGTGGCTGTAAAATGAATGACTGTAGGAGCGAAGCAAAGCCTTCCTTTTCTTATAATGATGTTGTAAATTATTATTGTAAGCCCCTTACATTAGAACTAGTTTTCTTAAAGTCATTAACGATGTAATATATGAGTCACCCCTAAGCCCCTTGAACCCTCTACACTTGCTAAAGCTATAAAAACTCTAGCATTTCGTCCTTTTTAAAAAGATCATCCTAATAACCGCTTTCTAATACATTTAATAAATCACCTGGTCAAACTCATTTAATAAAACAAACTTTTGTCAAATCACCAACGTCACGCCTCTGGCGAATGCCTTATATCATAAAAATTTGATATTTTCGTATTGACACTAATTAAACCTACGAATCACCCAGTAACAATATTAATATTGTTCTTATTTTTAGACCGCGTGGTTAATGTTAGAGTGGACCAATGCCTAACAACAAATTAATAAAAAAGTAACAAAATAGATTTTCATTAAAAATCGTGTATGTATATGTCTATATGTCTATTGTTATGTATTAGAGTTGGTAATCGAAACGAAACCTACCCGAAACTAGTTTCGGAAAGCTCTAATCCAAAACTAGTTTCGGATTTTTTTAAAAAAAAACTGAAACCCCGAAACCCGAAACCCCGAAACTATAATCCGAAACCTCAACTATAATCCGAAACCTCAAACTATAATCTGAAACTTTAAAAATTATAATATATTGACATTTATTTTGACAGTTCTACTTCCCGACACTCTTATTTATTTTCCTAACACATATACCAATATTTTATATTATTATATATATATTACAACTATTTTTGTTTTCAAGGACATGGAATATTTTCGAAATTCAATTTTTGAAATAATTTGAGATTTATTACTATAATAACGAAAGTATTCCCCATTATTTCATTGTAATGTTACACATTCAACATTATTAAACATTCGTTTGAATACTTGTTTAGCATGTTTGGTGTATTTAATTTGTGCGAAAGTTTATGGGAAAGGAGTTTTGTTAACAAATAAATCTTACAAGAAAATATAAAAAGGCTCCAGATATAAAATAGAACATGCCACACGAATAAGTGCAATATTAAAAAAGTTGATATATAATCAAGAATTCGTCAACTGATTTAAATGTAACTCAAGATTCCAAAAAATCGATAAAGTGTTGCGAAAGCTTTTCAATGTATAAAAGATTTGCTAACACCTAAACGTTTGACGTTTTTCGAATCGATAAGCGTTCTAAAGTTTTTCAATCATAAAGTTTTGGAGTTTCGAACTTCAGAATAGGTTTCGGAAGGAATTTCAGGTTTCGGAAGAGGTTTCGGGTTTCGGATAGGGTTTCGGGTTTCGGGTTTTGGGTGAAGTTTCGAGTTTCGGATGAGGTTTCGGAAACTATAATCCGAAACCTGAAACTTTCAGATTTGGCAAAAAAGGTTTCGGTGACCAACTCTATGATGTACACATATGAAATAATTAGACCCATAGTTAATAATTCAAATCTATTAATAACATATTATTTAAAACAATAATAAGGGAATTATTTTTTATCCCCCAAATTTATTATCATGGTCAAACATATTCCCCACAACTAACATATCTACAACACTAAATCTAGTGGAGGCCAGGTAGCCCACTTTAGTAGAGTTTTGGGTCAAGAATAAACTAGTCGTAGCTGTAGGCCCCTGTAATAATTCATGTAATTTGTTTTCAATAATGTAACGTATAATTATTCAATAAAGACCGAGGCCAGGCCTCACTCTTAAAAAAAAAAAATTATTATTTACAGATTTAACCTTTTTTAAGTTTTAAGCAAAGATGTCTCAGCAACTACTAACAAACTTTTTTTTTTTTGAATTCAATAGATTCATAGGATTCAAATAACAAAAACTTCATTGAATTTGGTCTAGTAGTTGCTGAGATATATTTTCATTCAAAGTTTAAAAAAAAATTAAAACGTCTATCAAAAACAAACTATGCAAAATTTTCTTTAAACTTTGAGCGAAAATATCTCAGCAATT